CCAGTTACAGCCCAGGAGCTCCCAGTGGCTGCTCACTGAACTCTCCGGCCAGCGCCACAAGGGTTTCCGTTCCTCCACGTCGTGCTGATGTGCTCAGTTCTGGAATTTACGTGAGGACGTCGTGCATCTCACTCCCAACAAATGTCTTTAGGTTTTTTTAATTCCAGTTTAACTTGCTCTATGGCATATTTAGAGCCAAGAAGAGCTATGATTTTTTATTCCCATAGGCCGAGTGGTGACTCACATTAAACACACACACACAACACAGAAATACTGCACACCACATTGACACACACACAACACAGAAATACTGCACACCACATTGGACTGGACATTTATACACAAAACACAATACACACAGACACACACCACACACATGCACCATACCACACACATTTATACACACACAATACACACAGGTACCACACACACCACACGCTTATATACACACCACATAACACACATGTACACAGACATACACACAACACACATATACACAGACGCAGCACATACACACCCACATATATACAGCACACACACACCATACCACATACATTTATACACACACCACACACACATACACACATATACACAGAGGCATAACACACACAACACACACACACAAACACACATATACACAGAGACACAGTACACACACCATACCACACACATTCTATACACACACACCACAAAAAAAAACAAAAAACAAAAAAAAAACACTACACACACCACATCACACACACAGGTAGAAATTTAAGAAGAAAAAAAATTTTGTAATGAAATGTTCGTTTCTGTCAGTCTAGAAAACATTCTCGAATTTGCTTTTGTGTGTAATCTGTGTGTTCTGCACAGGTCTTCTGACCAAAGTGCACTCCAGATTGAACAGGTCAGCAGTGGAACAATCTATGTTCAGAGAGCTTCCACTTAAAAATCTTATTTGGCCTATTTAAATACTAACTTTTGGTTTAATTTTCTTGAGAAACTCGGAAAACGTCACATTTTTATTTTTATGTGGTAGTTTTCCCCAAGTTGAATTTCGTTTTTATGGACTCAATAAAAAATAGATCTCATTCTGAAGGGAAAAGCTTTTCCCCAAAACTAGAACCTAAGTGATGTTTTAAGATCACCACCTGGAAATTCTGAAGTTGGAATCTTTTAAAACCATTTTTAAAACATTTTACCTGCCCTAATTCAATAATTGACTTATTTGATAATTCTTTTCTCTGATTAGATTCTGTTGCCTTTGCCTCATGGAAGAAAACTGTGGTTGGTAAAATGAGCTGATTCTAGATCTATACGAAGCAAATATGTGGTGCCAGGGTTCACTGTGGGTCCACTATAGATATGTACATATGTGCAGGCACACCTGCATGCACACACATAAGCACATGCACACATGTATGTGCCAGGCTCACACACACGTACAGACATGCACACACAATATGTGCCAGGCTCACACACAGACATGCACACACAAGCACACACCTATGTGCCATGCTCACATGCACGTACACACATACACATCACATGTGCATATGTGCAAATCACAAAACATGCATGCACACATACATATGTACAATTAAATGGCACCAAAAATGGAAACTTATTTTCAGTGATTGAAAAACTGTTTTTGGAGCCTTGTGCTGATGAGATTGTAGTGTCAGAGAGCCGATCCCAGGGAGCAGGAGTGAGAACAGAGAGGAGAGGCTCCCGCAGAGGCCTGGGAAGCCGTCGGAAGGCTGTACTATTGATCTGTGAAGTGTCAGCTGTGGCCCTGGGACCGGCCCTCTGGGACCTGCTGGGAGCATGAGCATTGCGTGTGAGAATGGTCTGCTGAGATCACAGGAGAGAAGGCTCTTTCAGCACCTTGGGGTAGGGATGCTGGGGCGACGAGTGCCCTGCACTCTGGGCTGAGTGTCTGCTATGCAAGCCCACTGTTGCCACAGCCATGCCGGGTGACAGGTCACCCGCACACAGTGGCTTACGAGACGGGCGTCTGCCGTCATGCCGGGGTGAAGTTCTGCTGATGGGGGAGAGAGGAGCAGGCATGAACACGGGGTGGGGGTTCCACTGAACAGACAGGATCTGGGAGGTCCTAGGAGGCAGGAAGCGGTGGAGCCACAGGAATTGTGTCCATGCTGCTCACACAGACGAGGGCCCTGAGGGCTCGGCGGGACAGGGTGGCCACAGTGGGGTCTGTCCAGCCTCGACAGCTGTTCAGAACCATCATCACCTGAGCAGGGCAGAGACAGACCCGTGAGAGCATTTAGATGAAAAGCACGTGGGCGGGCCTCACTGCAGCATCCCCCAGGTGGAAGTTTGGTTAGTTGAGGCTGCAGGTTCTCTCCTCATTCTTTCTATTTAGACAATGCAATGGTGGCAGATGCTGCTGCTTGATAAACTGGTGGGAAGAGTGTCTGGCTGTGCCTGGGAGTGTGATGCTCACTGCACCGTCCGGGCCTCAGCCGCGCCACCTCCCAGCATCCGCTCACACCTGGACACGAACGTCCCCACACACAGGAGGCCAGTCACCCATCTCAACTGCTCCCACTTCTCTTCAGATCATTTGTTCACTCCCCATCCTGTATTATTTTTAAGGATTTTCTATTTGATATTCTGTGTAACAGCAATACTGAAAATTATGTTACCTGACACTGTATTTAATATTATTTATGGCCAGCAAAGTGACATCTCAGTCTGTCTTATCTCCTTTCATATTAAGCAGTAAGTGTGCGGAACTGGAAAGCTGGATGATTTTGTAAGTCAGTTTGAAAAGTCCGCTTGCAGCTCTACGGAAATAACATGATAGGACGTATGCCTGTGCACTATAACTCTCCAGAAATAACACGATAGGATGTATTTCTGTGCAATCTAACTCTCCAGAAATAACACGATAGCACATATTCCTGTGCACTCTAACTCTCCGGAAATAACACGATAGAATGTATTTCTGTGCACTGTAACTCTCCGGAAATAACACGATAGCACGTATTCCTGTGCACTCTAACCCTATGGAAATAACATGATAGCACGTATTCCTGTGCACTCTAACTCTCCGGAAGTAACACAATAGGATGTATTCCTGTGCACTCTAACTCTCTGGAAATAACACGATAGCACATATTCCTGTGCACTCTAACTCTCCAGAAAAACACAATAGCATGTATTCCTGTGCACTCTTAACTCTCCGCAAATCACACGATAGCACGTATTTCTGTGCACTATAACTAACTTCGAACAGAAGTTACTGTATGAAAATCCCAAAACACCTGCTGGTTCTTCCTGGTTCAGCAAGCCCTGGTTCAGGGAAAACAGCTCCATGTACTGGAGCCTCATTTGGAGCCGATGAGGCCTCTGGAGAGCCTCACCCCAGCCCTGCCAGCATCACCACTGAGCAGGCACGGTACCTGGACTACCGAAGGCTGCCCCCGTCCCACCGAGCCCACAGCTTCAGGGTGGTGGGGACGTGGTGAACTCGGAATTCCAGGAGCCAGGGCCCACGGCTGCCCTTCTTTGGCTGTGCAGTGAGGTCCTTGGTCAGAAGCCATGCCATGTGGACCCCATGGTGGGGTGGGGCTTTCTGAGTCAGGGATGGCAGTTTTGGCCACAGTGTGGCACACAGGGCAGGCAAATCCATGCCCCAGAGTGTCTGTTTCAGTCAGGACAGAAAAGCTCCCCAGGGAACTACTGCTCCCTGATGGAAGCCATGGATGTGACCACCTGCCCCAGGCAGCTGGCCAACCCCAGGGGAATGGTGCCACCTTGGGGATCTGTGCTGGCCTCTGCTGCCAGCTGATGGCACTCGGTAACCGGTCAGCCTTGGTGGGTGGCGTCCACGGTGCTGAGTCCAGGGTCACTGCCTGAAGTTCTGACCACTGGGGGAATTTCGCCTCCCCACTGCCCTCAGGGATGTCTTGGGCAGGGGCTGCGGTGCTGCCATCCCCCACTTCTGGGTGATGCCTGCACATGGCATAGAACCTTCTGGAAAACTGGCCCGAGTCTACTTGTCTTCTGTCAACTGATCTAGGGAATTCTCCATGAGGCCACAGGTACAGGAGACAGACAGCCACGTGGCAGGAGTGGGGACCAGGGATGTTACTTCCTCACGCGTGCCTTCGGGGCTTACACCACAACCGTGTACACACCACATCCATTTGGTGACGAGAGCAGCTGTGCATGCCGAACTCTATGGCATTGGGGCATAAGATAAACCCGGCTCATGTGGCAGCTCAGGGCCCATGGTTACATGTGCAGTTTATACCAGGGCCCAGCAGCAGGCCAAGTTCACACATGAACAACATGATTGCAGGGTTCATGAACACAGCACCAGTCTCTGCCATATAGGGCCTAAGTAGTGTCCCCCAGTAAAGCTTTATAATTTTGTCTGCTTTATCTTGAATACAGTAGCCTCCCCTATCAGTGGAGGAAGGCTGGCAAGATACCCAGTGGGTGCCTGAGGCGGTGACTAGCACCAACCCCCCACTAGGCTCCAACTTTTCCTGCACACACACTGACAGCAATGTTTACGTATAGATTAGGCACAGCGAGAGATCACAAACAGATAATAAAACAGAACAATTTTAACTACATACTGTAGTAAAATTTAAGTGAACGTGGTCTCCCTTTTTCTCAGAATCTCTCCCTGTACTGTACTGAGCTGTTTGCGGGGCAAGGTTGACCACAGGTAACCAACCTGGGAAGGAGAAACCTCAGGTAATGGGGAGACTACAGCATCCTGAGAGCCGTGTTCTTGTGGACTCTACGTTTTCACTGTGGCTGTACGTGATTATTTTAAATTATATTTTTAACCGTTTAGGGTCTAGGGATGTGGTCAATATTGGAATGTTCATTATCGAGCCCATTTCTTCATGAAATCTTTTTGTTTCTAATAATTTGACTTTATTATTAGTTCTTCTTTAAGTGATGGACGTTTCCATCACCCTTCCGTGTCTTGAACCTTCCTTTCCTTTCTTCTGTCATCTACAACTTAGAGTTCCTCCATGGCTCAGTGGGAGCGCCGGGGGGCAGGCCTCCCTTTCCAACCCCAGCTCATCTTCCCCATGAAGGCCCATGTCATCTATGGGGTTGATAAGCGTATTACATGTGAGTGCGTGCTAGAATGAGTTTGTCATGTATGAGCATGGCATGTGTGTGTCATGTTACCGTGTCGTGTGAGCATGTCATGTGTGAGCATGTCCGGTATGGGTGTGCTATAGTGTGTCATATGAGTGCATCATGTATGAGTGTGTCGTGTGTGAGCGTGTTGTCGTGTGTGAGCATGTCGTGTGTGAGCGTGTCACACGTGAGCCTGTGCCATAACGAGGTGCTGACCTGATGTGGTGTTTCCCCGCAGATCACTGTGAGGAGCCCCTCGTGTCCACCCTACCCTCGTCGTCCTTCAGCAGCTCCTCTGAGCTGTCCAGCAGCCACAGTCCCAGCTTCGCCAGACTGAACCGGAGAGACGGTAGGTCCACTTCCCATCTCTTACTGATCCATGGTGGAGCTCATACAGTTTCAAGAATCAGCATCGCTTTTGCTAAGGGGTCATAAGTAAATTACTCAATGTGCAGAAAATAAAATTCTGAGTATTATTCAAACAGGTTTGCAGGTATGTTTCTGTTAGAAATGCATAGCGTGTAAATGTTCTATCCATAGATCAAGATTGGCAGTGCAGGTTTCTCTCTGTACTGGTCTGTGGAGGGGACTTGGCAGGACAGGGCACAGGTGGCATGTGCCTAAGCATTGAGGATACCCAGTTCCATATGAAAATGTGCACAGGAAATGGCATACACCAGGTTCTATTTATCTTGGAAAACGTATTTTCTATCACAACTATTCAATTTTTTGGGTACACAAGCCGCATTGAGTTATTCTTCAAGTCGAACAGAACTGGAAGCCGTCATTTCCATCACAGCTGTGGTCAATTCCATCACAGCTGTGGGCCAATTCCACGAAACTCGGAGGGTTTAAAACAACTGAGATTCATTCCCTTGCAGTTCCAGGGGTCAAAGTCTGCAGTGGGGCTCACGGCACTAAGGTCAAGGTGTGGGCAGGGCTGGGTCCTTCTGGAGGCACCTGGAAGCATCTGTTTCCTCCTTCCCATGCCTGGAGGCACCTGTTCCTTGGCTTATGGTCCCTTCCCCAGCTTCAAACCAGCAATGGCCACGGAGTTTCCTCTCCATCCACCCCTCTAGCCCTGGTTCTATCTTCGTCTTTCCCATTTAAACATGTCTGGGTCAGATGATATACCTCCTTCCCCCTGGATACCAGGATAGCGTCCTGGTCAGATGACTGGCAGCTTTCATGCCTTGTTGCCACACAAGAGAGCCCCAACCTAGCTTCTGGGGGCAGATGTGGCATCTTCCATGGGCTAGTGCTCTGCCCCCCACCGAGAGCTAGAAGAGTGGTCTTAAAAAAATGCTTGCCAATTAAAAGCAAAGCAAAATTAATCCCTTCTCGCTGTCGAGAGTGCAAATGTGAAACTGCGTTTGTGGCCCTCTGGGCTCATTTTATTGCCATAGTCGAGGCTTCTTCTCTGGGAGTGTGCTGAGCGGTGTGTGCCCCTGCTTAAAGACAAATGCACAAAACTGAGCCCCAAGTTGCTCTGGAGAAAGGAAGGGGTATAAAACATACAGAGACAGGGACGAGAGTGCTGCAATTCTTGCAATGTAGTGTGCGAGAGAACATCTGTGCACAGATTCCAGGGAGATCCAGCTGGCCCAGTGCTGCTCACATGGTGGGTGCCTGTGCAACCTGGGCCAAGTGGGGAGGACCCAGGACCTTAAGGCCGTGTGGGGAGGACCCCAGTGCCGTGTGGGGAGGAATCTCAGGCCACATGGGGAAGGACCCTAGGGCTGCATGGGGAGGACCCTCAGGCCATGTAGAGGGGACCCCAGGACCCTAAGGCCACATGGGGACAACCCCAGGGCTGTGTGGGGAGGAACCTCAAGCCATGTGGGGAGGACTCTAGGGCCACATTCCACGCTCACTCTCCTGTTTCCTTCTCATCTGTGTGGAGCTGGTGCTCAACACTGGACCACATTTACTACAGTGAACACTGGGTGACACAAAAATACATAATTTGTATTCAATGTTTTGATATTTTACATTTTAATACAGGCAGACTGGTAGATAAATGATGATGTTTCCAAAGTGCTTATTACTGCACAGATGTGCACACATGTGATGACACCTTGTCATTTTATATTTTAAATTACAATTTAAAAATTATTTCACTATATAAGGGATCTTTGGTGAAGAGGTGGCATGAGCTGTGTGAACATAGAGGTCTCTGGCATTTGTGTTGGATACCAGGTAGGAACAGGAGTCCTGTGGGAAGTATCTCGCCACGGGTCATGGCTGTGCACTGGGGTTGGCCTCCCACTGTGACTGCCTCATGGGACAAGCAGTCAGGGATCCCACGGCTTCCCCTGCACAAAAGATTCTAAGCAGAAACAGGGGCCTCCCTGAACTTGGGCTGACACAGCAGCAGGGGCCTCCCTAGGCTCAGGTCGGGACCCCAGCAGGTAAACTCGGCCTGGGACCCCAGCAGGGGCCTCCCTGGACTCAGGCCAGGACATTAGCAGGGGCCTCCCTGGACTTGGGCCAGGACCCCAGCAGGTAGACTTGGGCCAGGACCTCAACGAGTAGACTCAGGCTGGGACCCCAGCAGAGGCCTCCGTGAACTCCCGCTCTCCTGGGGCTCTGCTTCCCCTCCACTCACAGGTGTCCCAGCCTCAGCTCATCATGGGCCCCATCTGACGTTTCTTCCTGGGGTGCTGCACCCACAGGACTGGGCCCCTTAAATGACAGCATCCAGGGAGGCTGAGCTCCAGTGTGAGCCCCACACCTAGGACCCCTTGCCCTGCAGCAGTGCTCCCCAACCCTCCCCCACCCCCCACACCCTTGCTGTTGCTTTCTCACCACTCCCTCTGGCAGCCCTGGCAGCCCCGCCTTCACACCTGAGCTCACCCCACCTTCACACCTGAGCCTGCCCTGCCTTCACACCTGAGCCCGGCCTACATTCACACCTCAGCCCACCTCACCTTCACACCTGAGCCCGCCCCACAGGATCACAGCCACAGGGCCGACCTGGTGCCATTCTCTGTTCAGAATGCACTCAAAGGAGCTATTCCATGCATGCTTCATTTGGCAGTCTTTCTTTTTCTTCAAATGATATTATTTGAGCCCAATTACATCCGAATTTCTAATATCTGTCTCTAAGTGGATTAGCTTTATCCCTGAACACAAAGCAAGATGCGATTACAGCCACATTCTTTGGCCAACTGGCTTATCCACACTGTCACAGCAAAGAAAAGGGATATTTTTGTGCCACTGAAACACAACAAAAGGAGAAATAGTTTAGGAAAATTCAGTGTTCATTCTTATATGAGTCCTAATCATTGTACTCATTTAGGAGACACACAATATTTTTTCTGGAAATAAACTAGAAAAGTCTATACTTCAATCAATTACTCTCAAAGTTTTCACAGCTTATGCAATGAAAGGGGATAACATACTGAAATCACTAAGCTTATCCTCCGCGCTTCTGTGTAAATTTAGGAACAGATATACGTCTGGGCTCATTGCTGGCAGGGTGAGGTCGTCAGCCTGAGTGGCTCGAGGATCAGGGTCCGCCACGACAGAAATCATTTTAAGTCTCTATTTTCCCAGAGCTCATAATGAAGCCAGATATCAACCTCAATGAATTTTATTTGCATGTTAATTAAGTTTAAACCAGCCCATTTTAATTATCTCTTACTTGTTAATTCATTGTTTTTGATTGGGCTTTATTCTATTTTTCTCCCTCTTGATAGCCTGCAGCCCTCAAGAAAGAATTGCAAATTGAGAGTGAGTTATCAGAGGCCGCAGGGCATTCTGGTGTTTTCGCATGTCTCATTGGGTTGGGATTGGGCTGTGAATGATGGCTGCACGAGTGATTTGGGCACTAACGAGGACACCAATAAAACATAAATTACTCAGCATCAGGAGCACGTAAAAACATTAGGTTTCCACAGCCATGCTGGGACCTCACAGTGAGAGAAGGAACGGGCAGAAAGCCAGCAATGCTCCAAGCACAGCATCTTCCCTGTGGACGGAATCCACTCCAAGACCCCAGGGGGTGCCTGGAATCTTGGGTGGCACCAACACAGAACACGCTGCTGCTTGTATGCACAGATCTACCATCAAGTTTAAATACAAAGCGGGCAGAATAACAGACTAACAACAAAACTAATAATAACATAGAACTATAATAAAATATTGTAATACAAGTTATGTGAACGTGGTCTCTCTCCCTGAAAATATCTCATTGTATGGCAGGCCCCTTCTTGAGACGCTCACATGCCCATCTCCTGAGAGAGGTGAGTGACCACACACGCTGAGCCATGGGCCACACGACCCGTTTCCCTCTGTGGTGGTCCCCGGTCCCTACGCCCTCTGCAGCCATGGGCCATGTGGCACTTTTCCTTCTGTCCTGTCCCGGGTCCTCACACTCTCTGCAGCTGTGGGCCACGTGACACTTCCTCTGTCCCGCCCCAGGTCTTCACGCTCTCTGCAGCCGTGGACCACGTGCCACCTTTCCCTCTGTCCCGCCCCACGTCTTCACGCTCTCAGCAGCCGTGGACCACGTGGCACCTTTCCCTCTGTCCTGCCCTGGGTCTTCACGCTCTCTGCAGCCGTGGACCACGTGGCACCTTTCCCTCTGTTCTGCCCCACGTCTTCATGCTCTCAGCAGCCGTGGACCACGTGGCACCTTTCCCTTTGTCCTGCCCCAGGTCTTCACGCTCTCTGCAGCCGTGGGCCACGTGACACTTCCCTCTGTGGTAGTCCCAGGTCCACACGCTCTGACAGTGTTGGTGGTCCGGCCTCAGCAGCAGGCAGTGTCCATGACTAATGGTCACCCAGACGGCTGAATACACTGGATGAAGGGGTGATTCACATTGAGGCCAACTTCACCAGGCTTCTTAGAGCAGGGTGAGATTTAAACTCGTGAAATATTATTCATGAAGTTGCTGTTGACCTCAGGGGGCTGAAACTGCAAAGAGTGAAACCTAGGATGAGGGGTACCGCCGTGGACAGCTCCTGTGTCTGTGTCTCCAGGGCGGGGCAGGGGTTCAGGATGTGAGGGTGGCTGTGCCCGGGTCACAGAGGGCAGACGACAGCAGTGTAGGGCACTTCACTGTCCCCAGGGGAGAGGAGAGAGGCTCTGAGGTCCTCTCTCACCCGGAATGCTGCTCTGGTGGGCTTCGAAGCCACCACGCTCTCAGCAAAGAGACTTGCTCAGTTTCCCTGGTAGAGGGAATTCAGTGGCCCACGAGAGACTTCATAGCTAAAGAAGAATATAACAGCCAGCCAGTGTCAGTGATAACTCCAGCAATGCTACAGCGGCACAGCTGACTCCCATCCTTTAGTCACTGCTTCTGTGTGTGGAGTTTAGGTATAGCTTGAATTTTAATGTATCTC